CACACACACACACACATCATTTATGAACTTTGTTTATATTTAAATAATATTATATTTATGATAATCAATATCAACATATGGGAATATTTGGGAACCAATATGAAGATAAAATGTAGTCCATCAGGAGAGCTACAGGTAGAAGCTGCGTCTGGTGTTTCTGAGCAGATATGTTTCTACATTTTAACATCATTTAAAGGAGCAGAATGAGCTGTTAGCAGCTCCTGTTAGCAGTGTGCTCATGGGTGTACAGACAACTCACTGGATTACTGTGATTCTCAGCTTCTGAAAGCTTTTCGCTCTCTGATTTCTGATTTCTGGAGGTTTATTCTGTAGGAATCGGAGAGATACTGATACCCTCACACTGACTGAGAATATGTGTTTCCTCTGTGTGTTCACATTTGACTGAGCTACGACTTTGGTAAGTTAAATGTTAAATGAAGAGCAGAGTGGTTTCATTCCCCTCCTCCTCTAGTTGTTGAATATGTCTTTAGTTATAAATTCTTCTTATTATTATATTATATTCTGTTATAATATAACATTTTAGGGTTTATTGTGTAATGCATATGAATAATATTAACTGCTCTTGTATAGTTTTGATTTTTATTTGTATTGTCCTTGTTTATCATCAGTGATCTATTTGACTCCCGGGGGGTCGACATATCAAATTAAAAGGTCATAGTTGTGTTTACAACTTGTTTCCGCTGTTGTGAACAGAGTCAGGGGTTGCCATCAGTTTTCAATAAAGTACCGACACCACAATGCTGAACTACAACAATTACAAGTCCAGTAATTAAAATCCAACATAAGCAAATATTATTATTAATATTATCAGAATCAGAATTGGGTTTATTACAAATCACACAAAAATCAAGTACTGTTTGAAATATAAATAAATAAAGATAAAGATAGAACGATCTAAAAGTGTACAGGAAAGATATTTACAATGTGCAGTGAGAGCTTTATTGTAATGGGTTATAAAACCTGACAGCTACCAGTACCTGTAGTTAAAGTGTCGTATCTGCCTCTATAGGACATGAATACATTGTTAATGCTGATCAATGCTAGAGCTGCTTTACTGTTGGATGAACTGATGACATCCTAGATGATTAATGGGAGAAGAAATCAAAAGTTATAAAACACAAATCTACTTAATATTTAATTATTTCTTCTTTTTGTGCCTCAAACAATGATTTGAATAAAACCATTTGAGGGGAAACGTCTCTTTGGTGGAAGTGATAACAAAAGTAGAACTACTTAATAGTTAAAGGACCAGTGAGAAGGATTTATGACACCGCTGGCTGTATTTGTCAGTTAGCTTAGCATAGAAACTGTACTTTATGTGTATATATTGTGATATAATGTGAGATACAGATAAACGTGTGTGTGGATCTTTATGGATACCAGTGTTACTTTTTAAGAATCAGACACACTAAACCACCTGTTATCCCCCCGACGAAACACACCTCACAACACGACCAGGAAACTGATGCCTCTGTGTGTGTGTGTGTGTGTGTGTGTGTGTGTGTGTGTGTCTGGTATGTAAACCAGACCAAACCAGTCAGACTGTTTTAAACAAAGCTGCTCTCATTATACAAACACCAGCAGACTGAATTCAGCCTCTTGTCTGTTAAACTGCCTGCTTATCTAATTAAATGTAAATCACTGAATATCTGACTCTGTATATTCTCACATAAGATGTGATGTAGGAAACTGTAACTGGAGATAATAATAATATGGCTGAAATTAATTAACATTAATTAACCATCATGTTGCCTCTGCTTCGTCAGTAGATTAAATTCTTGAATCTCTTCAGGTTATAGCCACTTGTTTGAAGTGTTACAGCCTGTGATTATTATTATTATTATTATTATTATTATTATTATTACATTTATTATCATTGTCTTGATCAGTGTCGAGGGAAACTTTACAACTTTAAAGAATTAAAGGGCTGTTTCAACATATTTTTCCTTATTGGAAGAAATGAAGCGAGACTGTTTGGATGTTTTACGTATAAATGAAAGTTAAATGTAAAGAATATAGTTCCAGAGTTAAGCTGAAGAATATATATATATATATATATATATATATATATATATACAGTTTATAATAGCATATGCAGATTAAGGTGGAATATAACTAATACAAAGACAATACTAATAACTGGGTGGAGATGGTGGAAGGTGACTATTGCATTAAAGGCCATATTAAAAATTGTGAATGTTTAACTTCCTTTTATGTTTACTGTATTTATTTATTGAGTTTATATTGTTGCAATTTAAATAAAATGTAACCTGTAATCTGAATCAATCAGGCCCAGAAAATAAATGTAAACTTTAGACCTCTGCTCATTGCAGCTGGTGTAACTCTGATGGTCTCCCTGTGGTCCAGAGTTTGTGCTAAGCTAAGCTAAACAGCTGCTGGCTGTGGCCTGTATGAGGCGACCTGGTATCAACCTGAATCTACTCAACCCCCCCCCCCACTGTGTTCCGACTGTGAACAGTGATTATGTGAAACTGCAGCACGGCCTGAATGACCTTTGCCCTCCTCACTGTTTACTGTTTATCATGTTGCTCATGTTGGAGGATAGTTTACTCTAACGTTTGACCTCAGGGACCAACTACGGATGGAAAATCCAACAGCAGAGAGAGGAACGCTGCTTCAATCAGGAAACAACAACTAAAATAACTGAGAGAGACACAGACAAGTGTCACAGTCGTCTATACAGCTCCAAAACATGATGATGATAATAATAATAATA